CACATCTACTCGTACTTCACAAACTCCAGATTTTGGATGACGACAGTGCGAGAATGACACAAGCCGATTGCTCTGCTTGCTTGTAGTGAAACGCAAAGACACAAAACGATCACTTCAATAATTCGCACTTGGAAGATGAAATGTTTTGGCCGGAGTTTGAAAGCGAAAAATAACATTTATGTATTGATATTCATCTGTATCCTAATTTTGGTGAGAAATCATTGCCACGAATCCTGTCTCCAGTTCACATAGATGCATATCATTTGTTATCAATGACATTAAGGGCAAATTGAGCAAATTCATTGGTTCAGAACTGTGTACCAAAGTGATAGCCCTTCCCATTAATCAATACCCAGGAAGTAGATCTCAGTTTCCAAAAGTTTGGTGAGCCCTGGTCTAAAGCTGTGTCGGCTACTTACCTGAATGATTGGCATGAAACACAACTGGGACAGAGCTTTGTGAACAAAATCCCCATTGATGAATCCTTCATCCTTCAGTTCTCCGAGAAGAGTGATCCAGGGTTCGATTCCTTCTTTTCTCATCACTCCCCACCAGCTCTCAATTCTCTGGTTTGCAGTACTTGCCCCTAGAGTATAACTTCTTTCTGGAGCTTGGTCATCAACGTCATTTCTCCTTAAATAAAGTTCAACGTCTCTCACCGCGACGCTGTCTGTACCCATGTCAGTTCGTATTAGTCTGGGGAAGCTGCCACAGGGTTCCAGTGCTTCCAGAAAGTATCCCCCTGATAACTTTGGGGTCACTTTTGGTGACAGCCGCTCGCAGCCAAGCGACATGATGTGGGAACCCGTCAATGAGGCCGGTAATGCATATCGCATATGGCTTAAGTTTGTCATATGAATCGATGACGTATGGTCCATCGGCAAAATGTTGCCTTCTTCTTTGCCATCTGGTCCGGCAAACTTGGGAACTGACGGGGTCCAATAGAGCGAGGGGGATTCTGACATCTTCTTTTCTGATACAAATGTGATGTTTACATTTTGTATACATCCGCCAGTCACCATGATCCTTCCCGGATTCTTGCAGTTGCTGAACAAATGAATCGATCCTGGCATCCAAGTCATACCTCCGTCGATAAAGCAAGCTGGCTCTCAATGGGTCTATTCAAATGTCTCTCGGTGATAATGATTCCTTGCAATGCCAGGCTTCTCATGATATTTAGCCCCTTGTCTTCATAACTTTTGTATTTCCTTTATTGTTTTGTAATGCCATTTGTAGTTCTATGTTTCATGTCTGTGTTTGTGACCAGTTTTCATGGCTTTATAACAGGTGCAGTGGTTGTGAAGGCTCTATATAAAGCTGTATTGTATTGTATTCCCTTGAGCATAGCTCTATCTAGTGGATGCATAACGCAACCACAGCCACTATTGTGGCTTCTATTCTATGCGCCTTATAATGCGGTGCGCCCTATAAATGATAACAGTTTTAAAATTGGCCATTCATTGAAGGCGCACCTTATAATCCCAAGTGCGGAAAATACGGTACTTCATGCGCACGGACAAGCACTTTTGTGCGCACGTTCTATTTTGTGCACACGATGTAATAGTCTGTGCGCACACAATAGTTGCTCGTGCCCACAAAGTAGTTCCTCATGCGTACATAATAGTTACAGTGTGTGCACAAATTAGTTTTGTGTTATTGTGTTTGTGGGTTTGCTATGTCATGTTTGGAGCTCCGTATTTGGACTATAGATCTCCATGTGTTCTATAATTTAGTTACTATCCAACTGAAAAAAAGTCTTCATGAGAGAGCATGAGCAAGGCTAGGGGGGAGGGTACAAGGCAGGGTGGGATCAAGCGCAAGGAAAAGGAGAGGCGTCAGAAGCACCTTTAGCAAGGAGAGAGACCCCCCACACTGCTGGATCTTTTCTAGAACGCCCCCTCGTGCTCTTGCAGAGGTTCCGTTCGCACTCTCGCTGTGATAGATTTACCCAGCGAAGACAGAGGGAGGCGCCTGCCCCTTTGGGTCCTCCAGGTCACCTCCTCCCTCACTGGAGGTGTGGAAGAAGTGAAAGTCAGCGTCTAAGACACAAGTTCTCAACGCTCAAGTGTTACGGACCATGTCCGTGTTCATCGCCACCCAGCCGAAGATAGACACCAGCGCCGGCTCCAGATGGGTAAGACCCACTTTAGAATGCAGTGCATGGATTTTGGGGTGGGGGAATAGTGGTGCTGGTGGGGGGGTTATGTTGTGGGCTGGATGTCTGCTGGCTGTGCATGATGGCAAACAGGCAGGAAGGAAGGAAGGGAGTGCTGGCCACCGATTATGTTTTGCGGACCAATATTTTCCCATTACGTTGCCTTTCTAGCACCTTCAATGAATGACTTCAAGCTTGTGTCTCATTTGCTGCACATAATCACTTTTGCCTTAATGTCGCCCGCTAGTCCACTAGACTCCAATTTACGACTTCTTTGGCGGAAAAACGGAAAAAAGCTTTGAGTTGTTGTGTGATGTCACCAGTTGTATTATTGACGTGGCATGCTCTGTTTTTGGATTGTGATGGACTGCAAGGAGTTGGCATTTAGCATCTTGTGTGTTTTCTGTTGAATTATGAATACATTCAGGCTGACATTTTTTTTTTAAACCTGTTATTGTAGCCCTTGACATAAAGAAAGGTATATATTTTTTAAGTGTACAAAAATTGTAAGATAAAACTTCTAATGGCCTTATTTTTGGCCTTTTTTACTTATCAGATTAAAATTTGTTTTAAATGAGCGTTACAAAATGAAGCAGGTCACATATAGCGACAGGGTTTGACATTTGGGCCACTATGGAGCCCGGGCCAATTTTTTTTTTTTTTGTGTCAAATTTTGAACATGTTTATGTCTTTATGACAAGAAAAAATGTTTGCGATCATTTCAAACCGTTTGCGAACATCTTTGCAACCTTTAACAAACCCTGACGAGAAAATCATTTGCAAACATTCGCCGCTCAGTGAGATATGGGCTCAAGTGTATTAAAAAAAACATTCATGTTTAATGAATTCTTGCTCACGAAGCTTTTTGAAACGGATTCAGATACCGGTTTGGTCATTGTTTCCCAACGCAAAACAAAATGTTTGGAAGAGTTTTATTTCGATGAAACAAAGGATAATCAGTGTAGTCTCCTGAAGCACTCCACAAATCAGGGAATAGTTATTCAAAATTTGAAGTTAATCGGTGGCCCTAAACGATTAACTCTGATTAAAATAGCGGCCGATGATTTTGTTCATCTATTAATTTGCACACCTCGACCTGTGGGTTGTGGAACCTCGGGGGAGAATCACTCATCATGAAGTTAACTTTCCACTCGCTGTCGTGTCAGCCATGCAATTTATGATTATCTTCATCAGAGAAGGGGAGTAAACTACCTTCAGTCCTTTATATGACTGTCCGCTCGATGGCAGCTCAAAGATGATTTAGAACGCCTTCAGTCCAGGCAGTGGCGGATACATTCACAAGCGTACGCGCGCACACAAAACACACACACACACACACTCACACAATGAGGTAGAGGTAACAGGATGATAAGCCATCAATAAGGAACCATGTTGATGCGGTTGACTTAGCATCCCATCCAGGGAGATCATTAGTGCTCAACCAATGTCACACAGCAAATGGTTGAATATGTAATTACGGCCATAACTAAATTCAATCCATTTTCTTATCGAGCTGGGTGATGTTAGGAGGAAATGAGATTTGACTGCACTTTCTCTAAACGTTTGATTGACTGATCCACCCAATTAATTTGTGTCACTTGGTGTGTGTAAAAGCAAGCTGATGGGAACAACGAAAGCACAAGTGTCAAACTCAAGGCCCGGGGGCGAGATCTGGCCCGCCACATCATTTTATGTGTGGCCCGCGAAAGCAAATCAAACATGTCAACTTCCACGATGCTTGCTAAAATCTCTACCAAAATTTAAGCTTCTCCTATTTAATAAATTAGAGACATATTGTAAGCATTTTCTTGTGATCAAACCTCATGACAGTAACTTAAACAGTAGTTGAATAAATCGTCATTGACTGTTTTTATGTGGTTTCAATCATAATGGCCCTGAAACGGAAATGGGAACTAAAAGGTGGCCCACGACAAAAATGAGTTTGACACCCCTGACTTAAAGCATTTGCAAACAAACACGCTTATGTGCTTGTTATCTCTGCTGCATGATATTAATGTTTGCTTTTAGTGTGGCGTCACTTGACCGGATTTTTCCTAGCTGCGCAGTAACGATGCGTTATTTGAAAGAAATTGGCTAGAAATGTGATGATGGTGTACTTGAAGAGAGAGTTTACTTGCTGGCTGCTTAAAAGTTTTCCAACAGAACTTTTTGGCATTATTCTGTGTCATCCATCGTCGAGGGAAGTGATTTCCCCCTGGTGCTTCTAGTGTACAACAACATCTGTGCATCTTCGGTAAACAAAATCTTCTCACCACTCGGGTGCAGTCGTGCCAAAATGAAAGTAAATCAGGTTGCCGCAGCGTGTCGGAGAAAGTTTTACTTTGAAACATTAAAGTTCCTCGAGTGGGTGTTTGTCATTCCTCCTGTCTCCTCTTGAAATAATTTGGTTTAAAGCACCAACTTATTGTGCAAATTATCTGAACTGTTTTAGTTTTATAATGAATCTCAGACTATGGGCTCTATTTTCACCGACAGGAGCCTCAGCGCTGGGGGATGATGAGGAGGGCCACGTACGTAGTTAAGTTGCCAGCATCTCATTCAGTCGTCAGTGAGGAAACCCGCTTACATTGTCTGTTGCCACACCGGCAAAAAGCAGAGATGATGCTCTGGTCACGCAGCGGTCGCCGTTTCCTTTTCTCCACAGAAATGTCTCCATGAACGATATGAGTGTATCATATTTGAAGGAGCCACTTTGATTGGCGGCAAATGCAATTGGCTCTCTTCACACCCACAATGGCGCAAACGGACTTTCTTTTAAATGTGCCGGCTTGCTTACGTTCTTACTCCCTCCTGATTTAACCCTCCTTTTGTGCAGCGTTACGACATGCCTCACACCAGACTTGCACCGGTCAGCCCAAAGTCTTTGACTTTGTAAAGGGGAAAAAAAAAAAATCAGACTGTAAGCCAAGGTCCTATAGTTCATTATTTTCCAGCCAGACAGCTATAGTACGGGTCCAGTGAGAGTCGTTAAAGCAGCGAGGCAGTTGATAATGGCGACTGTACAAGTTGAACGGCTGCACCATCCTCTGTCTGGGAAGCTTCGATGGATATCTGGAGGACCGGATCTACAGTATTTCCCGAGAGCGTGCCGACCCACAAAAGCATTTATGAAGTGGAGCAACAAATGATGACAGGGACCCGCATGAACCTTTTGTGGGAGAATAATCCCGTCTCCTAAATTCATCTGCTGGAATCCATTACACAAGGAAATGAAATGTCCTGCTTTGGAAAGAATGTTCAAACTTTTTCAATCAGTATTACTTGTGACAGATGAATCGGGGCGATGCAAGTCCAGCTATGAATTACATGGGCTCCTTGACTGAGTTGAGGCACGTCATAATACGAAGTTTGTGATGCTACGCTGGCACAGAACAAAAGTCACAATTATAGGACATGTTTGTCTAAAAAATACTTTAGCGGCTAGCTAGTTCATGGTGAGTCGTATGTCGGGGCAATCGTAAACCGAGGACCACTGTACTGAGCTGTTCTCATTTATCATTGGACCGCTTAAGAAAAATGCAGAACTCTGAACTTCTTTCATATATTTAATGAATTCACAACAAATGGTTTTTTTTACACCCCCATGGCTGTTTGTGAAGAAACTGCAACAAAGAACACCAGCTTTTCCTCTCATTTTTGAAGCTTGTGTGACAATTCCTTATGACTGTAACTTTCCACTTGCCAAGGCCGCCTTGTCTCTGCCTCTCGAATCCACCCTAAGCTTGCACAGAGCACTTAAGACGCTGCAGTCATGTTTTAAAGGAGGTAGACTCTCTCAACTCAACTCATCATGTATACTAAACCAGTTCCATTTTAATTTTTTTAATGCGACAGTGGTTGACCAAACTATAAAAAATAAATAAATCCACTTTTCATTCCTTCTGATGCAGGCAGGCACCTTGACTACACTTTGTCAATTTTAAAAAGAGCCTTATCATACTAAATGGGGAAATTTTGAACAGCGGGATCCAACATGCTCCCGAGACACATTATAGTACGCTCCCAGCTTTGAAATTGTCCTTCCGTGAAGATGACCCATTTTCCCCCCAAATACATAGAGATAGCCTGAACATGTGCTTGGTAGAACGACAGATTTGAAGTCATAATCCTTGTTGGGATCGGAACTGTTCTGCGAGCCGTAAAATCATCTGCAATGGAGTGTGTGAGATACATTCACTCGTTGACTCCAAATGCCCTCAGCCGTGAGACGCAAGATGGGAAAGTGCAGATGTTCAGGGAGGAGGCCATCGGCTCCATCAACGTGAGATCCAGTTAGTGCCGACAATGCATTTCTCACGCTTTCTAGCAGTCTTACAAACGAAGATCTGCGAACATGGGAGGAGGGAAGAACAAGGAGAAATTGAAATCGATATCCATAAGATCCATATCTTTGGAAACTGAAGAATATGTACTCTAACTTGAAAGAAAACATGTTTTTCCGCAGTTTACTTCAAGAAAAGGGGGAGGTGATGTTTCAGGGACAGCGATTACGACGGTGGAAGGCTTATCATGTTATCAGTTTACAGGGTGCATGAAAGGGTTAATATCCCGTTGGGCTGATATTCGTTTGTCAGTCTTTTTTTTAATGCCTTTTATAACGCCTTTGCCTTTAGAATTGTTGAAGTAGAATGCGGTCCAAGGTTTAGGCTGAGCACCTTGTTCCAAGCAACTGTCCGCAATTGTATGTTTGTGATGATGAGGTGGCCGCTGTTTAGTGCACAGCCGGCATTTTAGTCACAATAACATCTGGACTGCACTTCCACTGTATGCAAATGCCCCATACATACACAAAACAACAAGGGGTGTGTGTGTGTGTGTGTGTATGGGGGGGGGGGGTGCTATTGTTATTCCTTCCAGTAACAAAGTTGGATACATTGGATTAGAAACAGTGAAAACACGTTTCAATATGATTCAGTGCAATCACAAGAAGCACCTTGCCAATCGCGTCGCGACGGTGTCAATTTGAATTCAGCACTTGTTATCATTGAAAATACGTCGCTTTGCTAACATTTGATTGACGTTGTACATTCAAGCGTGTCCTAAATCAAACTGCCACAGAGAGGCACTCAAGCTCCGTTCTGGGACCGCAGCACCGAAGAGTTAGTCGACAATTTCACCTCCGAAACAATACACGCTCATTGAACAAAAATACAGTCAGTCGGCGGAATCTTTTCAACGAAGGTGATTTGAGGATAACGTCTGTGCGTAAAGAGAAACTCTGCGCGGCTGTTGCTTCATTGCAGACCACTTCGCATGTAGCGCGCGCGTGTGTTTGTGGCAGCGTGCGTGTTGGCAGCGTGCGTGTGCAGCCCCCCCCCCCCCCCACCCCGTGCGTCCTTCGCTGGCTCCATGCGCGAGGACGACATCGTCGCGGACCCCTCATTATTATGAGCACGCGCGTTGTGCAACGACGAAATCGTTTATTGTGACGGCAAAGCGGGCGCCCCCCGTCTCTTGCTTTGCCCCATCATCAGCCGCCGCCGGTGACATCGCGGACGCGGCGGGAGAGGAGGGGAGACAACCAACGTGGTTTGCATACAGAGGAGGGACGCGAAGCCCCTCCGACAAATCTGAAGAGAACAGCCGTGGCAATATTACGCACATCCAGCGCCGCCGGGCTGCAGGAGTCACGCGTTTTTCACGCTGACAGATCCGAACTCAAGAACCAAGTGTCTGCGCCCCCACCACCTCCTGCCATGGCTTCGTTGTACCAGCGATTCTCCGGCAAGATCAACACCGCCAATTCCTTCCCGCAGCCACCCGAGGCCAGCCGCCTGCTCGGTGCCCAGGCGGCGGACGAGGAGAGCAGGACCCCGCAGCCCCCGCTGGATGCAAGGCTGCACGTCCAGTACCGCAGGAAATGCACGCGGGACGATGAGGATGTAAGATTTGATTTGCTTTTAAAGTGTGTGTGCGTGAGGTTACTCCAGACTTGCGATACAAGGCTGTCGTTCGTGCAACTTTTCATTTTTTTTTCCACCACTTTTTGAGTGACAGTGTCGTAACGTGTGTTTTGGCTTATCGGTGGTCACATGTTTGCAGAGATGCATGCTGAGAGTTTTGGGATACTGGGGGCTCATTTTTCCCCCATCGGTGCGATGCAACAATGGAACAAATGTGTGTGTGCTTAATGGAAACCTTTTTTATGGAAAAGATGTGAGCGTATAAACTGACCCCCCACCACCCCCACAGGTTAAGATAATGTTAGCATATGTGCTAATTTTTAGGTGTGAGCACGTCTGACTCACAGCCAAAGATCCTGGGTTTGAATCTGGCGTCTGGTCTAGTTCTGTGAGGAGTCTGATTATTCTCCTCGATGCTTGTGTGCGTTTTCTCCCAAGACTGTCAAATGTCCATATTTGTGATGTGATTGTCAGTTCTTGTTTGTCAGGGAAACATGACTTAATAATTCTTTACGAGAAATTTGGGTTACGTCCCAACTTTCGGAGAAAATCTACCCCTATTTTTGTACTATTTTTGGTGTTATGAAAAGTCTTGGCAGGGACTAGCGGATGTTGCGATATTGTGCTTCTTCTTGTGTGTAACAATCATTGGTAACATGCATAACACATTAAATATCGACCGATATTGATTATTAGTTGTCCAGAAGGCTGATAACCAATTATTTGGAGCCGAAGCTCATTTTCAGTAAAAGGGAAAATATTGGCATAAAATAAATTAACAAATACAAACTCCAACTCTTAACACTGTTCAAAAGTCTTTAAGCATATTATCTTAAACAACAGACATCTTTGTTTTAAAAATTCTAACAAAAAGTTCAGGGTTCTCCCAGGGTCATCCGCTTGTCTTAAAAAGTTGAATTCAAACTTAAAACATCTATAAGTAGCCCCCTTTAGTTTTATACGGGAAATAAAGTTTTCCATAATTTCAAAAGTTCCTCGGGGTTAGCACCATTTCTTACCAACTTGAACTAAAACAGTTCCCTCAAGTTAACAGGGTTATAAATTGATCTCTTCTCGGCTGTAAGTGTTTTTTTTGTTTGTTTGTCATCAAAATGCCCTAACGCTGCTTCTAATCGGCGCGCCTTATAATTGGTCTATTCCCATAATGCATTACTGCAAACTGAAAACTAATTGTACCCCTTTGCGGCCTGAGTCACAGATCCAGCCATTGCGCATGGAGGCGGAAATTCCGCCTCTGCATTCTCGATATTACAATCATAAATGATGACATGCAGCCTAATAGAAATTCGAAAATCCTTTTATTCTCATAAAAACAAACAAAAAAAAACTACCCGCAGTACGTGTGTCATTTATTGAATTGCTGCATCTCTTTAAGCAATGAACAGTTCACGTCATAATCACGTTGAAGTCGCCGGCCACTTAGGTTTTTGTGAGACTGGAGTTTACACAAAGGAATGAATCTTTTAAATGACAATGTGGCATTCCACTTCATGGAGTTTCGCTGGAGTGGAATGCTAAAGTCAACCAACGAATTAGAGATGAAAGCAGCATTACAAAAAACAAACAAAAAACTTGAATCCAAATCTTCCCATGTTATTATGGAAGAAGACTTTTTCAATGGAGGAGCTCCCTCTTTTCTCAGTTCAATTTAATGAGCTAGAAATCCCCAAGTGTTTTATTTCTATGAAATAGTTTGTTTTAATTTATTTCTATATTGCATTATATTTATTTTTAACCAGACACTGGTTAAAAAAAAAAAAA